GCAAGTATGGCAATTGTGAATTATGACTTCCATCCGGGGGCTCTGGCGTGGCCCACTTAAAGGGCCCAGCCAGGCCCTAGCTGGTTTGGCTTAGTGGATAGAGCATCGGCCTGCGGACTGAAGGGTCCTGGGTTTGATTCCAGTCAAGGGCACATGCCTGGGTTAGGAGATCCTCACTGAGTATTCCTCATCTCTCCTACCATGATAGGGAAATACAGCTCAGAGATCAGGCCAGCCTTCTTCCTCACCATCCCCTATGTGCTGGTCCCATTCTGGGCTGGTGTGAGGATCTTCAACCAGGCCCAGCCACCAACCTGCTGCACCCCCAACATGGTAAGTACCGTGCCTCCAGGCATGCCTGTGCCCACGTACCTCAGTCTCCCCATTTGAGTTGTTTCTGGTCAAAAACATTGTCTTCTTGGAAGGATCTCCTTGGTCATTAGAAAAGAAGGGATGAGCCTTTATGCAGTGCCTGTTGGATTGCTGACTTCTCACCGTCTCTCTCTCATGGGGCAGGTGCAGGAGGAGCAAAGAAAGGGTCTCCTGCAGCGCCCGGCTGACCTGGCTCTCGTCATTTACCTCATCCTTGCTGGGTTCTTCACCCTCTTCCGGGGCCTTGTGAGTCTGGCTGGTCTACCCCTCTCCTGCCTTCAGCCTCCCTCCCTGGCCTGCCCTTTCCACATATGTTTACTCACTGCAAAAGGGCCACTGCTCTCCCATCTGATCACCAGGGAAGTTCTTCATTGAGTCTGACCTGAGTGTTTCACCACTAAGCCCCATTCCTTGTAGCCTTCTCCCCAGCTCCGAGATCTGTGGCTTCTCGGCCAGAGGATAGAACCAAGGCTGGGGGTGGGGGAGGGTAGAGCGAGGGGTGTGAGCCCTGCCTGGGAGGATGGGGAAAGCTTTTGGTGGGAGGGATATTTGAGGTGGGTTGTTGTTTTGTCTGTTGGCTGCAGGTGGTACTTGACTGCCCCACAGATGCCTGCTTTGTCTATATTTATCAGTACGAACCATACCTACGGGACCCTGTGGCCTACCCAAAGGTGCAGGTGAGAGGGCAGGTGGGAGGAAAGGACCATGTGTAGGGGTCCACTGGGCTTCTTTGAAGCAGGTGCCTAAAACACAAGTCCAACTGGCAGAAGCTCAAATGGAATTATTGTCCTATAAACAAATTATAGGTACGGTCTCAGGTATGGCTGGATCCAGGAGTTCAAGGAGAGCTCTGGCTCTGGGCTCTGCTTTCTTTGCATGGGCTCCCCTCCCAGGTGGTCCCTTTGTGGAATGGCAGAGAGCCTTGGGCAGCGCCAGGCTTCCTTCTGCCCTACTTAGCTACCCCAGAGGAATGTGAGCCTTTATCTCCCCAGAGCTTAAGCACAAGTCTCAGGCAGGCTCTGATTGGCTAAGTTTGAATCACATCCCCATCTTGTAGCTGATCATTGTGGACAGAAGTGAGGTGGGGGGCAGTGGGAAGGGCAGGGACCCCCAAAGGAAATAAAGGTGCAGGTTGCACAGAGTAGGATATGCAGAGAGCCTCCATCCTGGGTCAGGTCTGAGGCTGGCCAGAGCCTCCCTGGGGTTCCCACCTGAGGGGTTTCAGGAGACCCATCGGGGGCATCTGCTCATCATATCTGCTCATCACAGATGCTGGTGTATATGTTCTATGCATTGCCCTTCTATGGCCTGGCTGCCTATGCCCTTATCTTCCCTGGCTGTTCCTGGCTACCTGATTGGGCCTTGGTGTTTGCTGGAGCCATTGGCCAGGTGAGGCAGGGCTGGGGTGTTGGGGGTCAGGTGCATAAGAAAGAAAGTTTCTGCCTACCCATCAATTTCTTTTGTGCTTTCCCTGGGCAGGGTGATGCTGGGCCCCTGAAAGGCCCCAGCCCCAGCTCAGCACCCCAGGATTCCTTAGTCTGGAGGAGAAAGAGCTAGACACAGACCATCCCCAACCCCATGGGGTCAGAACTGACGAGAGGGCGAGGGAGAGGCTGAGAGGGATTACAGAGGGGACAGATTTCTTAAAAGAGGGGGCATAGGAGCTGGGCTTAGACATATGGGTATGAGAGCTCCAGGCAGGGAAGGACATTCCGGGAATGGGAACAGCATAAGGAAAGGCACAGAGGGGCATGGTGATTTAGCAGAGCCATAACAAGGGTAAAAGCAGAGGCTAGAGAAATTGGCAGCTAGATGCTGAGGGCTTTGAACTCTGACCTTGGGGGCTTCTATGTAGGAAGATGAAGAACAGTGGGAGGTATTTGAGCAGAGGAGGACCGTCAGAGCTAGGGGTCTATTTCTGGGTTCCTGATGGAGTATGATAAAGGCTGGGCCCAGGTCAGAGCAGTGGGAACCAGGAGGACATCTATGGTATAATCAACAGAATTTGTGTCAAGGGCAGCTGTCTGGGTTGAGGAAGAGCTGGACAGAGAGATAGGGTGTAGGGTCCAGCAGACACAGTGGACATGGTTCTGGTTAGGCAGCTGGGGAGAAGCTCATAGACTGATGTACAAGACAGACAGGACCCATAGGGACAGGGATATTTAGAGACAAACAGATGGACTGGAAAGAGGAGACAGGCAGGTCAGCAGAGCCAGCAAGATGGGGACAGGGACCCCGGGGCTCCCCAGGGTGGGATGTTGTTGATGCTGGGACTGGTTCTCTCCCAGCCCCTGACATCTACCCTCCCTGTGTGGCCATCAGGCGCAGTTCTCACACATGGGTGCCTCCACGCACCTGCGCACACCCTTCACCTACCGGGTGCCGGAGGATGCCTGGGCCTGCTTCTTCGTGTGCAACATGCTGTATGCACTGGGCCCTCACCTGCTGGCCTACCGCTGCCTGCTGAGGCCAGCCTTCTTCCAGCGCCTGCCACCCAGCTCCCAAGTCCTCCACGAGAAGCAGCACTGAGGGGGCCTGTGGGACTCCCCAGGACTCCTTTAAGACACCCAGCGGGCCCTGCCCCAGAAGGATGGGTTGGGTTTTTTGGAGGTACATCCATGGTGTCTTTGTTTCTGGCTATGATGGTTCCAAGGCCAGCTGGTGGGATGGGAAACCCAAGGGCCAGGTGTTCAGGCAGAGAGGGCCACAGCCACACTCAGCTGTCACTGCTTCCCAGCCTCTGTGGGTTCTTCTACTCCCTTGCCAGGTTTATCCATTACCCCCAGGGATCCTTTTGCTAAAAGCCCTTTTGATGCCTAAAATGTTGCTGCCTGAGAGAAACATCAGGGGGCAGGGGTGAGGGACTGTCTTTTCAGACCCCACAAAGGCCCACCATCACTACCAGTGTGGCTGTCAGGGACAGAAGGTGCCAGACAGCAGAAGCCTGTCTCAGGTTGGTGTGCACAGCTCCACTTTCCAGATGGGGGAAACAGACTTGGAGAGGATCCGAACCTGCCTGGAGCCACAATCAGGACAAGAGTCCGAAGTCCTATTTCTGCTAATAAATTATAACGAATACTGTGGCATCGTTATTACGCACCTACTGTTTACCATGCCAAGGGCTAACCTCACATGCTATAATATAGGATCTCACCCCATATTCCAGATGGGGAAACTGAACCTGTAGGAGATGAGGGTCCTGGTCTGCGGGCACACCTCCTGGGTGCAGCTGAGCTAAGGACCAAGCCCTGGCCACTTCAACCACAAAGCCCATAGTCCTGCCTTTGCTGTCGGGCTGACTCATACTTTGGGGAAACAGCTGGGGGAGGCAGTCAGGGGCGTGGGGGAGGAGCTCATTGTTTCCAGGTTTGATTACTGAACCTGGATGAAAGACCAGGTTCAGTGGTGATAGGTCCAGAGTGCAGTCAGGGGCGTGATCAGACCCTCTTCAACCTACCAACACTTATTAAGCATCTATTGTATGTCTAGCCATTGGATCGTCACCAAAGAATCAGTACTTCATTTCCCAGAGGTGGAAACGGGCTCAGAGAGACCAAGCTCTCTTCCAAGGCCCCACAGTGGGTGAGGGGCAGAGTTGGGTTTGGGTCTGTTGCTGCATGAGTGGGTCATTGTCGCAGGACCCACCACGCAGTGAGCACCTTTTCAGTGCCAGAGGCCAGGACAACGAGATGGCCACTCAGTGACAAAGGGGAAAACAGACCTGCAGACCATGCTCCTTTCCCAGGCTCCTCAGCTCCCTGCCCCTGCAGGGTCTCTGAGGAGAAAGACTCCACCAGGCCCCTCGCCTCGGTTTTAAAGATGCTTATTTAACCTGAGCCCCAGAGAGGTTGCTCTGGAGGCCCAGTCAGCCAGCAAGAGCAGGGAACTCACTCTCCCGTGTCCTCCCCACACCCGTGCCCGGGCTTCCTTTCAGCGGAGCGCGCGCCTCCGCTTTCCCTTTAACAACCCCCCCAAACCCGCCACCTTGTCCGCCTCCCTCCTCCCCTTGCAGGCAGTCACCGGGATTGCGCTGCCCCTGAGACCTGCCTAGTCCTTCCTCTATGTGCCCGGAGCGCAGTCCTGGCGCGTAGGGTCCGCTCTGCGGGGGGCCTACGGGCAGCATGGTGAGTGGGGCCGCGGCGCGGGTCCCCGTAGGTCCCTCTCCGGGATTCTAGCTCCGTGTCTACGTCCCTCCGTGTTTCTCTCTCCAGTCTCTCTCCCGCTCCGTTACTCCCATCCCCTCGGTCTCTTAACCTGCTTCTCGAACTCTCTGCGTCTCCGTCTCTATCCCTCTCCGTCTCTCCCTACTTTTCTCTCCCTCTCGGAGTCTCTCCGTCTCTCGCTCTCCTACTGGCTCCCTCTTGTCTGTGTTTCTCTCCCTCTTGCTCGCTCTCCTCTCATCTTTTTCAGTCTCTTTCTCTCCCTTTGCATGTTTCTCTCCGACTTTTCTCCCTTTCTCCCTCTTCTTCTTTCTCCCTTTTGCTCTCTCTCCTCTGCCTTCATCTCTCCCTGCTTTTCTCCTTGTGTCTC